GAGCCAGTGCGGGGGGAAGCTGGCTTAAAAACCAGTCCCCCCCCCAGCACTGTCTCCACAGAGGGGGAGGGAGTAGCGTGGACCAGGTGCAAGACTGGAATCAGCTGATTCCCGGCTTGTGCCCAGTCCCAGGCACTGCGCCTCTGCTTTTTAAATTTATTTAAAAGCTTGTTAATTCTTAATAAATTGCGGGGGGAAGCTGGCTTAAAAACCAGTCCCCCCCCCAGCACTGTCTCCACAGAGGGGGAGGGAGTAGCGTGGACCAGGTGCAAGACTGGAATCAGCTGATTCCCGGCTTGTGCCCAGTCCCAGGCACTGCGCCTCTGCTTTTTAAATTTATTTAAAAGCTTGTTAATTCTTAATAAATTAAACTTCCGATACACCAGCACCTAGAAGACCTAGGGGGTGCCGGACTATGGGAAGGGGGTCTGAAGGGTCTGGGGTGGAATGGGGGCGGGCGCCCCTCGGTGCTGTGGGACCAACCCAGCAGCCTTCCAGCTGCTCTGCCCCAGGCGTCCTGATTCAGCCACTGCTGAAACTGACCAGGGCTGACTCCAGAAAGCCTGGGGCAGAGCAGCTCTGCCTCTGGCTTTCTGGAGTCAGCTGCTGGGCAATTTCAGCAGTGGCTGACTTGGGGATGCCTGGGGTAGAGCAGCTGGGGTGCTGCCGGGTTGGTCCAGTAGCGCCGAGGAGCGGCAGAATGCCGGACTATTGGATGCCGGACCACTGGAGTTTTACTGTACATTTAAAAAGGCAGAGCCACAGCAGAGTTAACTCCTGGGGCTGGAAGCTAACCTTGCTGTGTCTCCCACTCTTATTGACTAGTCGATGGAATTTCCATCAACTAGTCGATTAGTTGATTAAACTAAATTTAACATTCCTAAGTCATGTACTGAGTAAATGCACAGGAGATGAACCAGATCAAAATTATTCTGTTTCCCTCCAACTCTACCTCCAGCTCTGTATTCTTCTGTGATGACTGTTGATGGTTGCCCCATGGGGCTCCCTGACATGTGACCAGACAGGCATATAAGCTAGTAGTATGGAACAAGTATCTAAATATCATTAATGTTAGGACAATTAATGTTGCATTAACAGTTTTTGCATTTAAATGTTACTTAATTACCAGGGGAAATAACTCCCACTAATTTTATGACTGTGGTCCATTTACATAAGATTCAAGTACATGTTTGGCTGGAATGCCATACTTACCTGTTGGACAATATTATGAAGCACTGAATCCAGTTTTTCTTAACAAAATGTACAGTTACGTGCTAAAGATACAAACAACTCAATTTAAGTTGGAAAAAAAACTTTTGAAATTTTACTAGAGAAAAAGAGACACCACTTTGACCTATCAAATGATAATTTAGCTTTGTCTCCAAAACATTCGAAGGCTAAGAAGTACATGTTACAGCATTCAAGAAGTTAAATCACTATAAACAAGGGCTTATTAGGGATGTAAAAATCCTGTTTAATCAGTTAACTGGTTAAATGTTATGTTTAACAATTTAAAAAGGGGAGGTTGGGTGAGATTCAAACCAGGTGGGCTGGAGTGGCCTCCATACACAGCAGCCACAACCAGGCTGGGGAGCCTCCGCCTGCAGTACATTGCTCCAGCTAGGCTGGACCCACTGCAGACAGGCTGCTCTGACCAGGTTGAAGCACCCCCTGCCTGTAGCAGGTACTGCTGGGCTGGAGAAAACCACTACTGCTCCAGCTCCTGCCAGCTAACCGTAACCAGTAAGCATCACCCAGTAAGGATGATGCTTACTGGTTAACCATTTTTGCATCCCTATGGCTTAGAACAACTGCATCTCCACTTAGAGTAGGTATTACACAGAATGAGTCATCACCTAGAATGCAGCAGACTGTCCACAGCTGGAAACAGAATCCAAATCTTTCAGTTCTGTGATTTAATTTATCTAGATAACAAATTTTCAGACACACCTACAGCCAGGTTTTGAGCTGCGTATGCTACCTTCAATGGGAGCAGGCTGTTCAGCATTTCTTTCAACACATGTTATTTAGGGGCCTAACTTACGATGATTGAGTTTGAAAATGTTGACATTAATGTTCATGGTGTTTTATAACAAACTAGTTCATTAACAGTTTGTTATAGCAACTACTATCTCAATAGAAACAGAAAATAGCTGTTGAGGGAACTTGTCAGCTGATAAGCCCAAGAACAAGATATTAATAAATGCTGCACTCTTTAAAGCACAACAGTACTGAAGAGGATTAATTTTCCACAATCCCAAGGAAATATTCAAAGTTACCGTAATTTCTTGCCAGTATGGACCCCCTCGGGTGAACATGAAGTAAGTGTACAGGTCATCCTTTTGATGGGAGTAGTATGGGTCCGTATAGATGTTTATCATCCAGGGTCGACCATCACCACGAACGCGTAAATACAGACTATTAAAGTTTGACCAGTCATAATACTTCTTTGTGTCAAACGCTCCCTAGAAGGTATTAATAAAGCATGTTATTGTAGCTCTATATTTCAATGAACTACTATTATGAAGACCACACGTAATCACCTCTTTGATAATTTCCTTTTTCTGGGCATTCCTTATCCAATCTATTCATTGTGACCTACTGGAAACTGGAGGATAAAGGAAAGCTAGAGTGAGTAGCGTTCATGACACCAGTGCTCTCCAAGCTTTTTTTCCTCATGATGCAGTTGAAGAAAATTCTTGATGCCCATGACCCAGTATAATCAGGGCTCGATAATCTATTGAATCTACTCACCCATGGCAAGTAGATTTCAGCCCGGTGCCCCATTTACCGGCAGTGGGTGCATGCGCAATGCAGCTCATGCGCAGTGCGGGGCTGGCGAGCGGCTTTCACTGCAGTTCGTCAAGCTCTGAGTATTATTTTATCTTTTCACTAGATTGCAGGCTCCAGGATGGGGTCACAGGGATCAGGGGTTGAGGGTGAAGGTTTTGCCTGGGGGTGCGGGCTCTGGGGTGAGGCCAGAAATGTGGGGTTTAGGGTGCAGGCTTGGGGGAGGGGGCAGAAGAGTTCAGTATGTGGGCAGACTCTGCTACGGCATGGGTGTAGTGTACAGGAGCTGCAGGCTCTGTTGGGGGAGGGGAGATGCAAGCTATGGGATGGGGCCAGGGGTGAGTTGTTTGGGGTGCCGGGGGATTTCTGGGTTTGTGAGGGCTCAGGGCTGGATAGGTGATTGTTGGGACACGGTTACCTCCAGCAGCTCCTGTCAGTAATGCAGGGGGATGATAAGGCAGGCTTCCTACGTGTCCTGGCACAGTGGACTGCACTGCACCTTGGAAGTAGCCAGCAGGACCAGCTCCACAGGCAGTATCCACCATAGTTCCCTCTAAGGTGCGTGCCTGTGTGGGTGTGCACAAAGAATTTGAACCCCACTCACCTCAGCAGAGCCATGCAGTGGCTGCACAGCTGCTCCAGGGCCGGGCTGTGTGGCAGGCAGCCACATGTGCCAGGGCTGGGGCTATGGTGTTATTTTTAGTACTGCAGCCCAGGCTCCAGCAGCGGCCACACAGCCCGTCACTTCCAAGGCAGGGCTGCATGGTGGGCAGCTGCCCCATGTACTGCAGCTGGAACCAGGGTCATGGTAAGGCTGTCCTTCCTGTGGCAGTCTTACTATGGCCCCAGTTCCAGCTCTGGCGGCACAGTGGACTGCACTGCACCTTGGAAGTAGCCAGCAGGACCAGCTCCACAGGCAGTATCCACCATAGTTCCCTCTAAGGTGCGTGCCTGTGTGGGTGTGCACAAAGAATTTGAACCCCACTCACCTCAGCAGAGCCATGCAGTGGCTGCACAGCTGCTCCAGGGCCGGGCTGTGTGGCAGGCAGCCACATGTGCCAGGGCTGGGGCTATGGTGTTATTTTTAGTACTGCAGCCCAGGCTCCAGCAGCGGCCACACAGCCCGTCACTTCCAAGGCAGGGCTGCATGGTGGGCAGCTGCCCCATGTACTGCAGCTGGAACCAGGGTCATGGTAAGGCTGTCCTTCCTGTGGCAGTCTTACTATGGCCCCAGTTCCAGCTCTGGCGGATGCCACGCAGCCTGGCCAGTGAGGCCATGTAGCGGATGGCTGCCCGGTTTCAGGGCCAGCCTTAGGACTGAGCAAACTGGGCCCCGTGCCAAGGGCACCATAGCCAGAGGGTGAGGAGCAACCGGGCATGGGTGTTGGTTGGCAAAGGAGGTGGAGGGTACTGGGCAGGGGGCCAGTGTTGCAGGACATGCTGGAGGTGCAGGGTGGGGTTGGGGTCACAGCTGGGAGGAAAGTGCAGGGATTGGCATGAAGGAGACACTGCAGAAGTTAGGGGCAGAGGGGGCACAATGCAAGGTTAGTGGTAAAGGGGACATGGGATGGGGCTGTAGGGGTTGGGGAGCCCATGGATGCAGGAAAGGTGGAAGCAAGGCTGGGTGCCAATCTGTGTGGTGGTCAAGGTGGGTGGGTGTAGGATCATGCACCTTGTTAATTATCCCTTGTTTTCGTATTTTTTTTGGTTTGTTTTGCTTTTTTATCTTATGATAGTTGGTTACTCACCTCTAGCTAGGAGCTGGACCTGACAGCTCCAGGGTGCAAAGCAGTTTGCAGTGCTAGAACAGGCAGGAAGCTGGCCCCATTGGTCACCTTGTCACACTCCAGCAAGGTGACCAAGTGCCTGTCTTGCTACAACCCAGTACTGGGTCGCAAGCCATATTTTGAAAATCACTGCACTACTTTATCAGTCACTGAATTTTCAGTAATGTGTTAGCTGCCTCAAATGGGACTGCATGCTTTAAAAACACAGTAACAAGTGAGACTTCATTCCCTGTACAAGCTTAGCTCTCCAAGATAGCAGCCCCACCACTTTTTTTTGTTTCCACATATACAAAAAGGTGCCATAGCACATATGACCAGTGCCCATCTAGTCCAGCATACTGCAGGTAGCATGCTTCAGAGGAAGATTCAAGACACCTTTCAGATAGCAGATGTGGCATAATCTGCTCTCTGACAGTCTCATTCTGATCCCGAATAAAAATGGGCTTGAGCCATGAAATGTAAGCATTTATATAACCACTATTCTTTCCAAAATGTATTAGCATGGTTATTATCCATATAACTGTCCAGGTCCTCTGAATCTTGCATATCTTCCACGACTGTCTCATCACTTTTTTTTTAATAGGACCCTGATCTTGTAACTCATTCCACACAGACAGACCAAACCACCTACAAGGAGCCCTACTGAGATTAAGGAGGCTCAGGGGAAGCACAGAGCCTCTCTCTCAAACATTTGCACACACAGAGCCGGGGAAAGTACCAAAGAAGGGTTACATTTTCTCTCAGTTTTGTGGTATACTTGATAATTATTTAGAAGTAATCTTTCCGCTTACTAGTCTTTCAGGTAACTTGGCCAACAGACAATATTTATGCTGGCCTACCACTGCAGGGATGGGAAGCGAGCCTCACAGAATGGATCAAGGCAAGCTGTGAGCCCAATTCAGCCCACAGATTCTTCACCTCTCATTTAGAGGCAAATGTACAAATAACACTGCTGTTGTAAAGCAGAATAAACAGGATACACTTAAATCCCTTTCTACTAGGGCCTTGGGGGATAGAAAGTATGAATAAGTGTAGTCAAATACCATAGTGACAGAAGCAATGTAAGAACTGTAGTAAGTGCAAATGGAACAAATGAGCTGTATAGATCAACATTCATTCAAATGGAAGTAGCAAAGTCCAAAGAATAGAACACAAGACTTAAAAACGTGCATATATTCTGTCTGCCACTGACTTGTTGTGTGAAGTTGCTCATGTTTAACCTTTCAGCTTCTCAGTCTGTAAGGCTGCGTCTAGACTGGCAAGTTTTTCTGCAAAAGCAGACGATCTAATGTAAGATTGTCAGTGTTCTTCCGCAAATACAATGACTCTTCTGTTCAGGGAAAAAGCCCTCTTGCTCAAATGCTTTTGCGCAAGAGGGCCAGTGTAGACAACTGAACCATTTTGCACAAAAAAGCCCCAATGGCGAAAATGGCGATCGGGGCTTTTGCACAAGACCACGTCTAGATTGGCAAGGATGCTTTTCCGCAAAAAGTGCTTTTGCGCAAAAGCGTCCATGCCAATCTAGACGCTCCTTCCCACAAATGCTTTTAACGGAAAAACTTTTCCGTTAAAAGCATTTGCAGAAAATCATGACAGTCTAGACGTAGCCTAAGAGTCACCTTCCTTTACAAAGCAATTTTGAGGCAAATTGAGACATAAGGGGAAGGTATAATTTTTAAACTAAGGAAGATGCATTTCTCAGCATCGCCACAAGCACAAAAAGAACAGCCCCAGCCTTCACGAGCTGGTGCTGGCACTGCAGCCACATGGGAGGCACCATGGCTGAAGCACTAGCTCCCCACTGAGGAGGGAGGGAAGCCCAGACCCTCACAGGTTTAATCAAGGCAATCAGCTCGGGCTCTGCCTGGCAAGGGGGAAGGAAGCAGCATTGCATGCTGTAGGATAGTGTTCCCTGAAGGCACTGCCCCCTGGTGCTCACATTGGTTGAGAATTGCAGACAATGAGCGCAATGGCGGGCAGTGCCTGCAAGGAATGTTTCCCTGCAGCATGCAAATCCACACAAATATCTAGCTGGAGCAGCTGTGTGGGGAAGCACTCATCCCATTCCCTGCTCACTCCTGCCCAGACCACACACCTCACTGTGTTTCTGCACCCCACCTGCCCAGACCTTGCACCCTCCAGCCTGCTCCTGCACCGTATCTTCTACCTTTACCCTCAGCCTGCTTCCCAGCAGAGCCCTCCCACATACTGAACCCCTCATTTTTGGCTTCACCTCAGAGCCTAGATGCTCCCGTAGAATCTACTAGTCCCAGGTCCCCAGAAAAGTTAATCTAGACCTGGAGTAAACCCTGAGCCTAAGCATCCCTCCCTCCCCCCCTCTCCCCCATAGGGCTGGAGTATGAGGGAAGTGTCTTCTCAGAGGGGGACACATCTGCGAGGTGAGTTTTTTCCCTTCTCACTTGGGGGCCAGGTCAGTGACGGTTGGTTTCTCTGGGTTTGGGTTTTTTTTTTTTGCTTCTCATTATGTAGCTCCCAACTGATTTTTCTGTGGGTTAGCAGTCCCCACCCCCAAACCATAAAAACTCTAAGCTCTACTTTCTAACTGGGCGTTCTTCTACCTTATTTTGTAAATGTAAAATAGGAAGGGCAATACTTCCTCACTGAAGGCATATCTACACTGAGGAATTTCAAAATAACTTCCCTTATTTTGAAATAACGAACTGAGCATCCATACTACCAAGCCAGTTATTTTGAAATAATGGGCTTGTTATTTGGAAATAACGCCTGCTTGTGAAGATCAATAAGTTAGTTCAAAATAGCTATTTTGGGAGTTTTCAAATCGATAAGTTAGTTCAAAATAGCTATTTTGGGAGTTTTCAAAATCTCTTATTTCAAAATAACCTGGCAGCGTAGACATAGCCTGAGTGTAGGAAACAGACATTAGTAATCCATATCAATGTCATCTTTTTGTTGTGTTCAATTTACAAGTAGGTTCAGTCTTTTGGCAGAAAAAGATTTGTCTCTTGCACATTCAAATGCACTACAGCACTCAAGTGCAGATCTTTAAAAACGCACATGCCAACATAGATCGTTTCACTCCCAACTAGGGATGTAAGCAACTAGTCGACTATCCAATAAACAAAAGCTTATTGTATAGTCGACTAGTCCCTTGACTAGTCACTTCCCCCCATTTGCTGCCTCTATCAGAGGCAGCAAGGGGAGAGCAGGAGCCAGGGCTGGGGAGAACAAGCTTAAAAGCCAGTTCCCCCCCAGTACCATCTCCGCGGGGGCAGGGGAGTAGCTGGGACCCACTCCCAGACGCTGCGCCTCTGCTTTTTAAATGTATGAAGAGCTCTTTTGGGAGAACTCGCTACTTTCCCCCAGCACAGCCGCCAGCCAGCCCTGGGCGCACCTGCGCCGCACCAGACAGAAGCCCGCTCAGGACATGTGGCAATTAAAGGGGCTGCGACTGCATTGGCCCCAGTGCTTTTTTGTTTGATTTTTTTTGTTTGCTCGACAATTTTGACCTAGTACCAGCACCTTTTTTTTTTTTTATTTAAAAAAAAGCACTGCTTTTAAAAGGCTGGCACTCAGTGGGGGGACCCAGCACAAGCTGAGACAGCTGATTCCTGGCTTGCGTCAGGTCCCCCCCCCCACTTCCCCTCCTTCTGCGCACCAGCCTTTTAAATGTATTAAGAGCCTGCCAGCTCTTAACACATTTAAAAGGCAGAGCCACAGCATGGTTAGCTCCCGGGGCAGGAGCTAACCCCGCTACAGCTCCCCAGCTTACTGACTATTGACTAGTCAATGGAAAATCCATCGACTAGTCGATTAGACTAAATTTAACATCCCTATTCCGGACTCCACTAAAAAAAGGAAAAGTGCTCTGACCCAAAATTGAGTGTGGATGGATAATCCTGAGTTAGGACCTAGACAATTAGGGTATAAGAATTACACACACTAATTCCCGATTAGACACTAAACCAGTGATTTAAAGCAAACCAATTCTGAATACAGAATTTTGTTGCAGGAAATCTTTGGTTTGTGGAAAGACCATTTTACTCAGTTATCAATGGTACTGTGGGAAACTCACTTTATACTGAGGGGAAAAAAACAAGTAATTTGTTCCTTTCTCGAATAGGAACATCTAGCCATGAACTAAAGCTTCATTCAGCCTGCTCACATAGCAGGGCAGAGATTACATCACTGAATGGATTGATGCCGCAATGGCTCATTCCTTCAGATGCTCAAATACATTTGCAAGAATAAAAAAAATCACTTACTCAGGCTAGCATGACAAGCAATTGTACAGCCATAAAAGAACACTGCAATAGATATTCCTGTGAAAATCTCAAGAGATTCTGAGCTTAGGTGAAAGGCTACTTTTGTTTTGGTCAATCTGACACTAAGTTTTTAAAAACTTAAATTCAGAAACTTAGCTAACACCTGTAAAAAGCAATAGTATGAGTTTTGCATGTTTATTCAATGGACATACTGAAATGTGTGGAATAGTGAAAGTTCATCTGTAAGTCTTCTGAACCATGCCAAGTAAATACATCAGTTATTCATATTCACAAAAACAAATACCAAAGAGGCAAAAATTTCTCCAGGTATGCGTGAGGTGAAGTCAATTTTCTGCAATAAGATTGAGATGCATAGTATATAACTCCAGCCTTTTTTGTTTTCTTGCACCAGGGAACATTTAATTTAAATGAGGAAAGAACAAACATGACACAAAAAGGTGTTCTTCTATAGAGAGAATCTTCACCCAAGTCTCTACGGCTCCAATTCTGACTGCAGAGAAATGTTGACTGATTCAACACTGGATATTAATAATTTAAGTCACTAAGTTAAACTCACCTTCAGGAGTTTGGCTCTTATTGCGCAATATCCACTGTATCCCGTCTCCCCATCACGAGGTGCTTCAGTACTGAGAGTCCCAAAGAGCAGAGCAGTCTGGTTATTCTTACCCAGTTTTAGGTAGGCTTCACTTTTCCCTCCAATCTCCGCATCAGAAGAAACCACCCACTCATCTAAATCTTTCTGACTGCGAAACTCCCAAACCACTCTAGTTTGTTCCAAAAAGTACTCCTCGAAACCACGGCCTTCAGGCCCTTTCACATGATCCACCAACTCCTTCTTTAGGAGGCCAAAATTTTTCTTAATCCAATCTACTCCATTCTCAAAGCTGAAATTCATCTTCCAAAGTGGAGTGTTATCAGGCGATGTTCCTGGTCTCCTATAGCTACTGTACAATTTTGAAATACAGTTGGTAAGGAGAGGGCCACAGAAAGGATGCAAGGCATTTTGCCTATGGCACTTACTAGAAAGAAAGACATTTTCCATCAGTTTAAAAGATAGAGCCATAATGATAAACTAAGTTGAAGGATAACTGGAATTTCTTGAGGAGGATAACCATCAGCTTTAAAAATATATTCTTCAGAAATATGCTTCGATATATCCTATTTTGGTTAATGTAGCATGCCACCTGGAATGAGAAGAAACAATTAGAGGAGCTACATCTGTAGCACTCTTGCATTTTAAAAAAGGGACACCAACTTGAAATCCAGACACTTTTTAAAAATCTATTAATTTAAAGTAGTTTCAGATTTTGTACCTGCCAAGTTCTCTTGTGAATTTACGAAGACATTTCCCTAATTTTCGAACACTTTTTGTCTGCCCTTGTTTGAGAAAGACACAAGAATATGAGAAAATTGACTGACTTTCACAAAGTATTGTTAAATGCATAAAATATATCAACTAAAAAATATTTCTCCAACTATTCTCTTTCCATTATAGTAAATTCAGGTGCTACTTGTAACAGAGATACAACTTTTACAAAGAGATATATAATTTTTCAAGTTGACAGTGTCCCTTTAAAACATTGTGCAAATAGAATTTTGACCCAAACCAGTTATGGCATCATTACCTAGTTAACAGTGATTTTAGGACAACTAAGTACAAATTACAAGAAACCTAGTAATTTAGAGGAAATTACCTCCTCACTTTTTTTTTTGCTTCTGTATCTTTGTTATCCATCTCAATGACTATTAATTTTCCAATTCATTACTGCATTTATTTTAGAATTTATATCAAAGTTATCCTAATAAAAACTCAGATTGAAAGATGCTCAAGTCTGATAACCTGACCATATAATTTATTTTTAAAAGTTGCAATGTTTCTGCAGACACATGAAACTAGGGTTGTAAAATCTCGGTTAATCAGTTACGTGACTAAATGTCACATTTAACCGATTAGACGGTGGTGAGTGGGGGTGTTCCACCCCCTGCCGATTAACCGTAATTGGTAAGCTTCGCCCAGTAAGGGTGATGCTTACTGGTTAACCATTCACATTCCTAGATGGGACTCAGTGTTCAGGGAATACTCTAAACAAAAGAGAGAACTGAAGAAAGCTAAAAAGGGCATGTTAGCTCAAAAAATACACATTTCTTCTCTTTGTAGAGATAGCTCTTAAATACCCTGCCATAACTGTTAGAGGGTTCCTGAATTTTCTAATTAACAAATCTGAACACAGTTTCAAGATAACTACATGTCTAGAAATAATCACTACATATGTGCACCAGTGTTCCCTGTAAACTGTGTGGTTGGGCGGACAGAGCAAGAGAGATTCAAATGCCACCCTGCTGATTAACAGAGTATCCATAGCTGACAGCAGCCAGCAGCATGTGTTTCTACTGTTGGTGCATAGCTGCACACGCCTCGGTAGACGTAAAATTTATTTGAATGATTACACATGGACATTCCGATGTATGTGTGCATACAGCACACAATCGTTGGAAAAATTTTCCCTAGTTGTATTTGTTGGGTCAGCTTTAGCGCACCCTGTAGTGAAGCCTCAAGGTGTTGCATATATACCCGTGCCAACCTGACTCCTGCTTCTGTTCCTTCTTTCCACCAAAACAACGGGGAGCCTTGTGGAACCTGAGGCTTTGTCTACACTGCAGTACTATTTTGGGATACCAGAGGTATCCCGAAATAGCTATTCTGCATCTTTTGAGCACACCCATTATTTCAAAATATAATGGGCTCACTATTCTGATATCCCTGTAAACCTCATTCCACGAGGAGTAAGGGACGTTTCGGAATAGCAGTTTATTTCACATCAAATAAATAATAAGACAGCACCAAATTTTGAAATAAGCTATTTTGAAAAAAACATCTAAATAAGATACACAATTTGCATAGCAAAACCTGCATATCTTATTTCAATCTACGGTGCAGTGTAAACACATCCTTAGAGACTAACATTTATTTGGGCATAAGTTTTTGTGAATAAAACCCACTTCATCAGATAATTGGAATGGAATTTACAGAGGCATGGGTTCATATATAAGGGCGACAAAAGAGAGTACTTGTGTAAATGAGGCTAATCAAGTGAGGGAGAAAGTGGCTCATTCACAGCAATTGATGTGGAAATGTAGATATCGAGAGGGGAAATTGCCTTCATAATGTGTTAACCAGTTAAGACCTCAATGGTTCTTCTTACTCCGACTCCTGTATCCCTCATTGTACGAGGAGTAAGGGAAGTCGGAGGAAGAGTGCTTTATTTTGAAATAAGTGCCGTGTAGACCAGTGTTTCTTAAACTGTGTTCTGTGGCACACTGGTGTACCACGGAGATCCCCCTCAATAACTCCCCCCGCGGCCCCTTCCCCCCCACCTTTTTTTTTTGGCTCAACAAAAAATCCTTGGTGTTCCCCATAAAAAAAAATTATTGTTAGGTGTTCCTCAAATTTTAAGAAACATTGGTGTAGACGCTCCAATTTCAATTTCAAAATAAGCTATGCAATTGACGTAGCTCAATTTGTGTAGCTTACTTCGAGTTAAGGCCTGCTGTGTAAATGCATTCTAAATGAGGACTGGCCTATCTCCCAAAGTCTGAGAAAATGAGGAATCATTTTCCAGTATAGGCTGTAGATTGTCAATGATGCGTTGGAGGTGTTAGAGGTGTTCAAGGATAAAGGACACGGGCTCCTCACTCACTGCCTAGGTTTGCAGCTGTTCATAGACAAACAGGGCCCTCCAGCCACCATCTTCTCTGGATGGCATGACAGGACAGGCAGGGAGCCTGACGGGCTCCTGCTGTACCTGCAGGCCGGATACCGCAGCTTGATGGGCTGCATCCAGTCTACAGGCCATATTTTTCCCAGCCTTGCCCTAGGTACTGCTTCTAGGAAAGGTAGAACATCCCTCCCATTGGCATAGGCAATGACTATACTGAAGCACTACAGCAGCCTGGCTGAACCTGTAGCATTTCAATGTCAATCAGTGCAGCACATAGGAAAAAACACAACAGCTAAATCCTAATCCCATACAGACTGCCATAGACCTTTCATTTGGCATTCACTTATGACCTTTCATACGTAAATATGCAGAAAGCCTCAGCAGTCATACTGTACCTTCCCTATATAAATAGCGAGAGAGAGATATACCTCTCTCACAGAACTGGAAGGGACCTTGAGAGGTCATCAAGTCCAATCTCTTGCCTTCACTGGCAGGACCAAGTACCATCCCTGATAGATTTGCCCAGATCCCTAAATAGCCCCCTCCAGGATTGAACTCACAACTGGGTTTAGCAGGCCAATGCTCAAACCACTGAGCTATACCTCCCTCAGTCTACCTACCATTATTAAGCATCACTCAGCCACCTCCATCCCTAACAGACCCACATTTGGACTAAGGATGTTAAGAAGCAGGTAACTGACTAATAGTGTTTGGATACAATTTGTATCGACAGCACGATTCATCCATAAGAGGAAGTGCGAGCCTGAGCTACTTCCTCTGCAGCTCTGCAGTTTAAATGTAGTAAGTCGGGCATGCAGGCTGCCCAGCTCCTATTACATTTAAAATTCAGAGCGATAGTAGAGGTAGGTCTGGGACCCAGCCCGAACTGGGACTGAGCAGTCCTGGATTGCATCGGGTCCTGGACTGCTGTGTTTCTGCCTTCCCCACTCCACCCCTCTGCAGTAGAGAGACGGTGCTGGGAGGAACTGGATTTTAAGCCATCCCCCATCCCCCAACACCAGCTCCTACTCCCCCCTTGCTGCCTCTGATACGGGGGAAAGCGAGTAGTGACTGAACTAGTCATTTACATCCCTAATTTGGACTAGCACCATAGAAGTGCCAGGAAGAGTTAAATTGTCTGAGTATTTAAGATGGCACATTGCATCCCAAAACCTGATCCTCTGTCCCCCAACTCCTAGTATGACAATCTTTCCTTTAGAAGAAAAAAGGATGTTCTCTGTAATCTTTTTAGACTCTCCTCCCACTAACACACACATTCTTTTCCTTCTATTTCATATCCCTAATGTTCAAGGCCCCATATCTGAAATTATAATGGCTAACTAATATAAGTAAACTAGACTGGATTGCACTTGCTATAGCAATTGGCCCGACAATTTTAAAATATATTATTTCCTCTGAGATTCTAAGACAGGAAGATTTCAAGATAAATATTATCAAAGTGCCAATAAGATCCACATGATGGTTGTACTTGTTCTTTCCCCTTGGGAATTCTTAAATTACAAGTCCAACCTCCCTACCACAGAGTTTCTTCTGGGCATGGATGTTCCATATAATTCAAAGTTTAAAAAACTGTGTGGAACATAATTAGGACTCTTATTTCCAATCTTCTGTATTTGCTTATTCCCCAGTCCTTCTCAATTTTCCCTCTTTTCCCTTTTTACTTCTCCTTTCCTTGCAGTATCAGAAGCAGTGACATAGGAACAATGAGCTTAAGTACAGAAGCATTGTGCATGTGGCGCTGACTGCATCAGGAAACTAGATCAGTTCTAACTAATTTGCCATTTGACCCTACTGTCAACTTCAGCACTAGCATTGTGCTAGTCCACAATAATTGTTGCTAGTTGTCCCACAGGAGTCTGCCACCTAATCAATGATATGTCCAGGCAGCCAGTAACAAACCAAAAATTAGAGAGCACTGCAGAAGAACACGCGTGTCAAGACAAGACAAAAGTGTTACTTATCCAGCACATAACTTGTGGGACAGTGGAGAAATAGATTGTAGCATTATCATTATCCTCATTTCCCATGTTTGCTTCTTGACAGACCAAGAGATGCATGTGATAGCCTCAAATCATTTTCAGGACAAGGAATTCCCACATTTCTGTTCAATCCAAGAATGGCTGGTAAGGAAAGCCCTCATGAAGTAAAGATCCTCCCTAAAATAAAATACAGCTACCAACTTAGAGAACTGTCAGTCCTAGCAATGTTATGTAGCCCTTCTGAAATGCAGTGAAGATTAATAATTTATCCTGGTCCCCCACAGGCTTTATCAATGATTTATCCTGGTCCCCCACAGGCTTTAGAGAGGGAGGATGGGCACGTATACTATTCATTCTATAAATACATGGCAGTTCTGAGTGATATCCACTTGTGCAAAAGCATGTAAAGATGAATCTAAGAGGCAGACTATTCATAAAGACTGCTATAAAACTTCGAGTCAGTTAAGTAGAAATGATTTGCAGAAGTTTTTGTAATTAAAATCTGAGTTCAGCACATAGATCAATGGAGGGCTCTTTTACTCTTTATCCAAAATATCACTGATGTTAAAACAAGAGAATTTTAAGCAATTTGACTAAAAACTCTTTGTCTCGAGGCCTCGGTTTTTACTCTTTTGACTTTTGTGATGCCGCCATTTCCCCAGTTTCCTGGTCACAATAGAATTTTCAGTGGAAGCAGGACCCACATTTCCAAAGTAAAACACAAGCACCGAAGGGGAAGGGTGAAAATACTATTTACAAAATAACAAAGTTTTGTCCTTCCCTATATAGATCACAGAGAAGTCAATCAGAACAAAAGTCCAATTTAATCTTCTTTGCGGGTTACCTTCAAAGTTTGTACGGGCAGGCACCCGCTGCCCAAAGTCTCTAGGTGCCGTCAGAGACCTCTGGAGAGCGGGAGATCTTCCGAATCTGCAGAAGCGTGTTGGGACGCGGCATTTGGCGACTATAAA